TACATTCAGACAAACCTCTCTCTCAATGCTGTAACAGCAGATGGATCTCGCTATGGAGGTGAGATACGATTTTGTGCCCTATATCTAAAGCATCTCCACCTCACTGAGTTACTCCAAAGTGTGCTTGCAACATACGGCCTCCGGTGGGGACACAGGTTAGCCCTGAAGTATCAAAAGACAACTTTGGATGCAGGGTAGGAACAGTAACCCCCAAAATTTAGCCTTCCTAGACAGCAACTACTGACTTCTAGCCCAACCCTGAATTATACCTGCCTGTGCTCCCATACACAACTGGTGTAAAAACCAAAACCATACAAGCAGCCATGTACAGCTGGAACAGAGCATTCCTAGGAAAGGTACTTAAGCGTGGGCTTACCTGCTGGCGCTGGTGCTTACTCGGCTTTCCTTTGGCAGTTATGGACAAGAACACCGCCGAAGGACAGACAGCCGCAGAGGTCGCTCAGGTTGTTCTCAATGCGGTGGGACAGAAGAAGAAGGAAGTACTTGTAGCTGGCCTAACACCTTCCCTGGCTGTCTACCTGCGAAATCTCTTCCCCAGGCTCTTCTTCACCTTAATGGCAACTAGAGCAAAAAAGGAGAGAAAAGCAAAGGACTCTTAGAGCTCAGGTCATTGGAGCAGTAACTGTAGGGAGAGGCTAACCCCCTGCAGTTTGGCTGGGACATCGGTGGAGGTGCTCCCGCAGGAAAAACCTTTCTCAAAATGCTGCAGTGTACCGTTGCATGGAGGGTGGGAAGCAGTTTCCCCCACATCAGGGCAGAGCCACTTGCTGGAAGGCAGCACCTAGACCTCACCTGAAGCAGGGTGCTTGGACAAAGGGGGAGAGCTGAGGCTGCAGGGGAGGCCCATGTGCTGGAAAGACAGCACCTTACCTCACCTCACTCCAGGCATGCTCAGCTTTCCTGGCCTGCTACAAATAAAACCCACCTGTTTTGCCTTCACATGAGCAGATTTTAGCTTTCCCCACCCCGTGGCCCCTGTGAGATACAGTCCTCAGCTGGGAGCTCTCGTGATCAGTGTCTCCTTCCCACTCCTTCCAGTCTGATCTACAACATGTTGCTTGAAGTGGGAAACTTCACAGAGCCTCTGCTTGTTAATATGCCAACTCATCTGATAGGTTAAGCTAAAGTCAAGTCCAGTGCCACTTTTAGAGAAGTAACTGATGTAAAATTTAAGTTTTATTTGGCAATTTTTTTCTGTCTGAATCATGCCTTACTGATGTACAGGGACATTTAACTCTGCGCTACCTGACAGTACAGTATTAACCCCAGCACAAGTTAATGCAGGGGAAGCACTGAAGAGATAGAAAGCAGCACAGCGAGGTATGCTGTTGCGTGTAAATACTGTGCAGCTGATAGCAGCACACCTGGTTCACCTGCAGGCCTAGAGCGCAGAGTTAGTGCGATTCTGTAGATGCCAGGTGTGCTGTCTCCTGGCAAGCAGAGGAGAATCTGTGTGCGTAGGGTGGACGGTACAGGAGACAGACCCTTAGTTCTCATCTGTTTTAAAGCAATCACGGATGCTAATTAGCATCACATCCAGTGGGGGAATGATGCCCGCCTGTTCACGTATCACAGGCTTCAGGGAGTCTGACAGCCTGAGGGAGTGCCATATTCTTCGACCCCTTCTCCTCAAGTGAGGGATACCAGCACCACTAGGAAAAAGGAGTGGCTGCACAGAGATAGTTCAGGAAGGACTCGAATAGTGGCTGCACAGAGATAGTTCAGGAAGGACAGAAATAATCTTTTTTAACTTAGAATTGAAGTAAAGCCTTCTAGTTGGAACCAAGGTCCAGACCCCTGCTGCCGCCTCCATGCACTTACCAGCATTTCCCATGTGTACTGCCTTGTATGTCCTGCCTGTGAGTGCACATCTGATGACAAATAAATTACATTGCTATGAAATTAATCCTTTGTGCTACTTCAGCTCCTCACAGCAGGTAACATTAGAGGAAGGGAGAGCGGGAGAGGTTTGTTTTTCTTTTCTCTTCTTATGTTCCTGCAAGGTGCTATTGTACCAGTGGTAGTTGCAGAATAATATACCTCATCCCAGCCCTCTTTACATCATCTGCTGGCTTACAGTAGGCATAGTGTGATCCACACAGAGGATTAGTCACACTAAAACTCTAATACAGGTGTGCAGGCTCAGCAGGACCTTCGCCTTCAAAAAGCCTTTTCTTGACCACTGCAGATTTATAAGCGATCTCCGAGGATCCATCCCAGACGGTGACCAGGACGTGTTTAATGATCACAATGCTGCTGCCCAGTTGGGACATCCTCTACCATTTTCACTGGGGCTGAGGTTGCAGTTCTGTTACATAAAGGCCTAGGGTTGAAATCACTAGTTGAAGCTTTTGGGCGTATGTATCTTTTTTCCTGTTAAGATAGGAAACCAAGGCATTACCTTCTCTCCCTCTCCACAAGGGGAGTCCCTGTAAGCATTAGTTGTGCTTTTCCTTTCATGTTTTGCACATTCAGGTCCTCCGTTTCTCGGCAAAACATAGTACTCCTGCCAGTCTTGTCCAGCTGCTCCGTCTTCCAGTGTTCCAGGTCATGGCTACCCAGGAAGGACCGAGGGGCCATTTGCGTTTCTGTGTTAGCTTCCAGGGTGCTGAGGGGTGTAACACGTCAGGCCTGAGGAAAAAAAATGACCTGTGGCTCCCCTGTAGTTACTGTTTGAACTACAGCTCCAAGTCAGGGGTTACTGAGAGTGTGCACGTTCCCCTTTGAAAGTAAATCCCCTCTCTGTGACGAGAGGAATGTAGCATGCTCCATTTCAGAGCACCTCCGTAACGGTCAGGATGGGCAGCAAAGCGTGCGGGGCTTGTCCCCAGCCAGCGTAACCCACAGCTACCGGCATGGGGGGAAGGCAGGTACAGCGACCATCCATGCGATGCAGTGAAACACACGACCCTCGAGACCCCTCTCATTCTCCCGGGTCACCTTGCGTAGTTACAGCACTGACTTACTAATAGCCAGGATGTCACCGAGCATTTTAGCCAGATTATCACTAATATTTCTTGGAAAACAAGCCCCCCTACCCCCCATCTATGTCCTCTCCACCTCAGAACGGAGTGAAGGGTGCGTTTTTAAAACAGACCTACCTGTTGTGACAGCTAAGCTGACTTTTCACCTTTCCTCCTGCAATACGAGACCACAGGAAACTTGCTCATTTTTAACTCGAGAGTCTTCGATGCAAGCCATGCGTTTAGGGAGCCTACCAAGGGCTAGTCCTTCTGCCACAGTGATCATTCCAGGCAAGGGAAGGCTTAACGCAAAAAAGCACCAGGACCACAGGGTTTTGGTGAAGCAAAGAAACTAACAGCCCTGACAATTATTCTGCATTGATTAAAAAAAGAGCAGGAATGTCTTTTGTGTGGCTAGCACAAGGATGTTTCAGGGCCTCCTGCAGCAATAAAGTACATATTAGCTATGGCAGATCTGCCACTAGTTTAAAATTCATCCAGTAGACGGGACTTTAGAAACAAACGATGTCGGGACTGGAAAGGCAGCCTGCCCAGCAGCCTTGGCCTAACCGCAGAAAGATGAAGCAGTTGCGTTTCTTCCCCTCCTCTCTGCCAAGGCAACTGTACATTGTTCCTATAAATAGAGGCACTCCGGATCCCAGCTTCTTTTAACCTTGGAGGGAGACAGCTCGGCCACTGTACCAGCGAGAGAGGCAGAGGGCTCTCGCCACCTAGAAGTGCCTCGATGCCACAGGAGTTTCCTCCAGCCCACCTGCCTGCTCAGGTACGGCTGCCTACGCGGGTGGTAAAAGCACTTGCTCAGAACTCCCGGCAAACCCCGCCTGCCCAGCACGCACACGGCCGGGATGCATGCCCTGCTAACACAAAAGCTGCATCAGCAGAAAAAGCAAAAGTTGGAACCCTGGCCAGAAAAGCCTGCTGCAGTCTGGAGGCGAGGAAGAGTTCTTGGTGCCTGCTGTTGCAATTTGGAAAGATAAAGATAGAACTACTGAATTTGGTTTTCGACCCGAGACTCCCTTCCAAGGTCAGTGCTTCAGCTGTGCAGGTCAGACTGCAGCTACCCCTGAAGCAAGCAGTACACCTGCGTGCAGGCAGCTTTTTTTACAGGGCTTTGCTCTTGTATTCAGCTCATAACACTTAAAGCTGTGCCAAGCCAGCCTTGTAAATGCAAGCCATGCCTATTTTCCATCTGGTAGGAGGAGATTAAAGAAAGTAAACCCCTGTCTTTTAAAAGTAACTGGCAGATCTTGCAAAACAGTAAATACTGCCCATTCTAAGAACAAGATTTTGACAGTTTTAAGCTAGAAGATGAATTAATGCACAAGATGGAATTCTAAAATTTCAGGTAACACAGTTACAAGACTCAATCACGTGGATGCCTTGCAGCAGTAGCGGGCAGCTCCAGAAGTGTGTGTTCCAAGCAAGAGCAGTGGAATTGCATAGCCGGGGCACAGCCGTCCGAGTGTCAGCGGCGGTAACAAAGCACAAAGGTAAGACAGCTGGACTCCTCCCTCGGCAGTCCTCAGCTGCACGCGGTACAACGCGTTTCAGTGGAGATGTATCTACATGAGGAAGAACTTGTACAGGAACTGAGCAGAATGTGTTTGTAGCTGGAAACTTAAGAGTGTTATCTCCATTGTGCAGAGAAGTAATGGTTGGAGGTGGCAGGGCAGCAGAGGATTTGGACACCTTTAGCCCCAGCCATCAATGTTTAAGCAATTACCAAAACACTGGGGTAACAAGTACGCCCTCTTCCAAGACACAAAACTAGTCAAGCGAGAGGGAAAGCAACACTCTACAGCTATTCCTTCAACAGATGGCTGCTGCGAAGTAACATGGATGCTGCTGCCATGTGCAACAGACAAGAGGAATATCAGGTCTGTGTGTGAGCATGCATAAATGATCACCACCACTGGAGTTCTCAGCAAAGCCTCCATCCCCTAGAAGCACACTATAAAAGGGAACTATGATAACAGTAACAAGAGAGCAAAACCATTTGAAATTCTCATCCTTTAATGGTCAATGATAACTTCTGGCTGGTTCTGTGTAATACAATTAAACAACATACTTAAATGTTTCAAAAAAAAAAAAAAAGGAAGCTCTCACCCCCCTTTCTATAGCTTTCTTTCATCGACATTCCGCTGCTGGACTGGACTCCCATGGCCTAACATACAGCTCGCAAGTCACCACACATCCACGTCTTAAGTGTAACGAAGAACTGAAAAACCTTGGTGCACCAGTGATGTGTTATTTTAAAAATAACAGCTCTATTAAACCAAATCCTTCCCAGTCTCCACTGCTTCTCAAAGAGGAAAAACAAAATGTTACTGCGGGAGTCTTAATACACTCGTCTTTGTGGGTTTCGCTCTTCCCTGCTGAAGTCATACAGCATAGAGTTCATAGATCTTCTTTACACAGTACACCAGGGCAGCGAGTGCTATCGTGTTATGCAGTCTCTTTCTGTGCAGGTCGTCCTTCCTCACCAGCACCACCGGAGTGGAGGAGGTGAGCGTATGCAGGGGCAGGCGGGAAAGTTTATAGGCATCGTACTCTACTTGGTACTTGCAACAGGGATCAAATTGCCAAGAGATACCATAAAGGGTGCAGCAAGCCACGCTCAGCACGCCAGCAGGCAGGGAGATGTAGTGAGAATAATCTACTGGAAGTGCCAGAGGGGTGAAGAGACAGGTGGTGCCCGCTAACACGGCGGTCTTGTGCAGGCAGTTCCCGACAGTGATCCAGCGGGCCGTCTCATCCCCAATGCGAGTGGGCTCTATCACTATGTATTTGTACTGGGCTTCCAGCGCCTGCTCCAGCTCATACTCAAACTGGTCCTGAGCATTCTCTCCATTGTAGATCTCATGCACGATGTAACAGTCCGTGGAGGACAAGGTGACCCTGTTAACAGGAAACACGGAATTAAAACTACAGAGCTTAAAGACGGAGTTTTCACCTGCCCAGCTGTGAGAACAGGAGAGAAAAATGCCCCAAGTGAGGGCAGCCCCGCAAGGTCAGTCACTGCCTCTGTTCAACGACAAGCAGCTTTTTCAAATCAGGATTCATTTCACATCAGCTAATTATGCCTGCTGTACATGAAGTCATCCCAAAATAAGGCAGCGTATTTTTCCTTACCTCTTCCTAACTTGGAGGAGCTAGAACATTGTGAGAAAAAAGGATCTTGTTAACAACCCTGAAATGGTTCCTCACACTGATACCCAAGCAGTTTCTCTAGAGATACCGGAAGCGTCACACCTTAGCGACCGCACCACATCAATGAATGAACTGTACAGACTTAAGGAGTTTGCACAGAAAATAAGACTAGCAACTCATCCATCAAGAGGGCAGGTTGCGCTGGAAGGTTTTAAAAGAGGAAGCATCTTCAGATGAATGTGTTTGCTTTCTCCCCACAATAACTACCTCCTTGCCACTGATGCAGCTTACTATTTAGTCCTCCATAGTAAATCCAACCTAGTAAATCCATAGTAAATCCAACAAGGATGGCCAAGAAACATTGCTGGAAGTGAAGGTGAAACAGGTAGCAGAGCACTCAGTTTGTTACAGAACGGTTCACTCCCTCTCCTCAAACAGGATGCGGCAAAGCAAGAAAGGAACTTTTTTTTTTAATCCAGGCAGGCTTTAACAGTGAAGAAAGAGCCGCTCACTTTACCTTGGAGCAGGCTCCCTACTGACAGGGGACCGATTCACAAGACTTGTACATCCCCTGTTTGAGTAGCAGCTTTTAGCTACCTGAAGTCACATCAGTTTCCACCTTCCCTCCACCCTCTTCACACACATCACCTTAGCTGCAGCTACAGTAATGTAACAGATGGCTAAGTAATAGGATTATGACTGTTTACCTGCGCTGAGAAAGGGTAAAAGCCCATCCATTAGAACAAGGCAAAATCCTCCCTTCTAAGCAGAAGAAATAACTATTTCTGACATACTTGTGCTTAACCAGAGCAAAACGGAGCACGTGGCCTCTCAAGGATAAAAATATCTAGCAGATTCCTTTAGCAGAAGGAGAACAAGCCGCACACATATTCGACCTAATCACAGCAGACAAAACAGCCTCATCCCAGCAGCATTTAGACCCTCCCAATATTGGGAAGCAAGACACTGCTGAGATGGAAAATGAAACTGGCACTTTTTGCTCCATTAGTACAATGGTACTTATGTGCATGCACTGGAAAATAAGGGAGAAAAACACATTCGCAAGCCACTGTGTTACCAGACATTACCCTTAATGTGCAGCTCCATTCATGCTGCAAAGGGTATCGTGCAGTGGCCATCTGTAATCAAGAATATTGTTAAATTATAAGCTGTTGCCAGAAGTAGCTGCTTTTGTGAACAGCGGCAAACATACCAAACAGCAGGACCCAAGATGTACCAGCCTCTCTCAAAGCAGAGTAATAAGCAGTTTCATTAAAAGTCTGGCTGGAATTTATATAAACTACAGGGAAAACTCAACTTACAAGCTACAGAACTTGGCCTGTTCACAGGTAGAAAGAAAAATAAAAATCCACCTGGATGCTGTGTACACCAGTGGCTTCTTTAAGGCCATCATCTTGTCAGGTATCGTTTGGAAAATTATGATTAACCCTTTCAGCACAGGACGTGGTGGGCTCTGACGTTCTGTAGCGAGTTGGCAAGTATTTAAAGAAAAATTTTGAAGGACAGCACCTATATAAAAGATTTTACAGAGTACTACATCTCTAATATAACTAAGTATATCAGCTAACATTAAGGAGTTTCTAACGAAGAACTAGTTAACCAGGTGTTACGCCGATACATTAAGGACACAGCTGGTAATGGTTTCTGCCAAGGATTTTTTTTTTCTTGATGACAACTGTTCCACATGCAGCTTCTTCCAAATCAAAAATTCCAGTTTCATTACAGAAGACACGCTGAGCCTTAAGGTAACTCGGTAAAACACCACCAATGACTATCTGAAACCACTTGCTAAGGCATAATGACTTCAGGGAAAAGCTATTGCTGAAAGGCATTTTCAAGCTGGAAGCTGACCCAGTGCTAACACAACCCTCCAGATAAAATTGGTGTTTCCTACCAAGGAGGATGTTCAGCGTTTTGTAATACCTAGGAACATGCAGCGTGGGTCTGCAAAACAGAGAAGCAGAATCCAAACTCACCTAAGAACTCCGCAGAGGCTTAGGAACAGCACAATAGCCTAGTCACCCCAGGATCTCCCTGCCATCACTGGGAAAACAAGGGTGAAGCAAGCCCATTTCTTCTCTGCCTGTACAAGAGCCATGGGGAACTGGGCTTCCAACTCCAGCAATTAAGTCAAGTAACTACATTATGTGGGATTTCTCCAGGCTCAGCGTCAGGACAGGTGGCACTAACCTATCAGCCTCATCTGAGCGAGGAGAAATCTTGCCTGTTCTTCCCTCTGAATATCCCTTCTTTCCTTTCACCGTAATGTACGCAAACAGAGCCATACCACAAGCAACAGCCACCTGTCAGAGAGAGCAGGAATCCAACAGACTTTGGCCAGAGGCAGTACTGTCCATCTCTTCTGGAATCTTTTGGCTTGCCAGACTCTGGGGCTTTATAACAATAAAGTCAAGAAAAGCACAATCCTCCTAAGCCAAAACAAGCAGATCTTAAAATATGTTCTGCTGAAAAAAAATCACTGGGAAATAAACTGCACAAAGGCTTCATCCCTGATAGAGCCTGGCCCCTTAACTATGCTGTTTCTCCAAATTAGTCCTCTAATATGGGAATAAATCTCTATCACAGTGCTGAAGCTGCAAATGGCAAAATGGGCAAACCAAAAACAAAGGACAAAGAATGAAAAATTAGCTGCTCAAACAATAGGACACATGAAGAGTCAGCAACGCAAGCAGAAAGTCTCCATTTCTGTAACAGAGGAAGCGGGGTTTATCACGTATTACTTTCACACAAGAACTGGCTGCCCCTGGAAGATGAAAAGCTGAAGACTGGTTTGTTTTCAGATGATATAGAAAGAGACACATGAGATACGTGGGCTTGAGAAGGTTTTAGGCCTCATTGGCTTGCAGAGTAGGACTGAGGACCTCAATCCACAGACGCAATCTCTCCTGACACAGCCTTTCAATTGAACGCAGCAGCTGCACATGAACAAATCCAGTCAAAGCAATTGGATTTGCTCAAACACTGGAGACTATGGAGTTTGCCTTTTGGAGCTTGTCCCCCACCCCCCAGCAATGACAAAAATGCAGAGCTATGCAATCAACCCCAAGCTGGCATCCACTGTTTATGAAGTGTGGCGATTTCATATAAATTCCATTTTACTTAAAAGAATAGCAGATAACCAGTGTCAGAGAGGATCTAGTTCCAGAAGTCATAAAATGCTGCCACATGCTCAGAAGCCCAGCATGCTATTTACTAGACAGAGCAGAACCTAAAAGCAGTCGTTAATATTATTCAATCAAATGTGTTTCCAGGACCTGCCTCCCCACCCCAAAAAAAGAGGGCTACGTTAAAAAGCTGTACAGCTGTTCTATAAGAATAGTTCTGGACCTTATATCCAAATAGTTTATTCTGTTGCAGGTTCACACATCCTATTCTTGAGAAATTTTAAATGTCTCATTCCTGGTGCCAACGGCATGCATAGATGGGGGAATGTGACAGTACTCAACTATTCAGTATAGAAAGATGAAAATAATTTAAAATCACTGATGTAAACTTTTGGTATTGCCAAAGTTATAAATAAGGAATCAGTTGTTAACAGAGCTACCACCAGCAGGAGGGGCGGAAGTGTCTGTCTTCGCTATAGGGCAAGCTTCAAATTACATTTGGATTACCTTCCTAACATGGGAATATCGGAGAGCACTGGGAGAGGGGTGCTGCAGCTGGCTGAACAATAGCAACTCCAGCAGTTTCCCAGTTACAGCCCTCAAAGCAGCTCCATTTCTCTGCCTCCGACGTGGAAGCAGCCTCCTAGCTGCCTCTTGAAAACAGCAGCCTGTCTGTTACATGTAAGTTTCAACTGGATAATCGTTATGGATGAAGAGATAAATACCCTTTCTAAGGAGGAGGAAAAGACCTTAACTTTTGTCAGGTGCCAACTGGCAAAGAGAGAAACAAACGAACACAGTGCTGAGAACAGGGCAGATGACAACATCCTGGAAGAAACCCCAGCATCCTTCTACCACTGTCCACTTGCAGGGGAGAACGACTGAGCCGCACGAGTTTGTTGCTCTCAGCCTAATGGTGTTCCTCGATCTGCCAGCTAGGCTTTTGGCGAGGGTTTCAAGTCATCCATCTATCTCAGTTCTGCAAAATGTTCCGAATTGCAATTAGAAACAATCTCAATCCGCACAAAGCACAGGTACAGTTCTGTGCAAAAATAGTTCTTTTTAAACCCCTCCCATAACACGGGGGTCAAGTTTTGTTTGCTTTTTTAAAAGAATGTTCCTGGACAACAGTATTGCTCAGAGCACCAAACATACATTCAGATTAACTGTAAATAAAGACCAATCTGATTAGTAGTTTAAAAAAAAAAAAGAAGAGAAGCTTGCAGCAGTGTGATAACGCCTGTCACAAGCAGTGCACACACACACACAAAATCTAGTTTAGCAATACAACAGAGGGACTTCATGCTGGCTGTGCAAGTGGACTGCAGAAAAAGGACATTACCGATGGCCAAAGCACAGTGTCTGGGGTCATTATTAGCATCTCAGCCAAGCTTGAGTAAGTCAGTAAAGTCAAGGCATGACAAATTCAAAAACTAGACTTCCCTCCCCCCACGTAAATCCTTCTTGAAATTTAATTTAATTTCAAGATTAAGGAATGAGCCGTGGTCTGGCTTTAATTCTCAGTGGAAATACTCCACCTCAAAGTCTTATTCAACAGTGTATTTTCCTACTCAGGAGAGCTCCAGGATATGGCATACAGAAAGTATGAACACATCCCAGCTCAAGCACCCAAAGATTTGTTTCTCTGCTGAACGTCCACACGATCTACCAGTCTCAGGCCATTAGCCATGGCTGTCAGGCCTATGGCTTCTTAAAGGCCATTCTCAACAGGTTCTCAATGGATGCATTAAAGCGGAGGAAGAACGGGAAGATCGTAGCAATAAAGCAAGACTTCTGTTCAAAATATACACCTTAAATACAAATAGGAAAGAGAACAGGAGAACACAGATGAGATCTTCAAGCAGCCTCAGCAAGGGAAGACGACACTGAGGAAAACATCCCCAAACCGTAACAAAAAACTCCAGCCACCAGAACAAAAAGAGGTGTCAATTTTAAGTCAACTAATGATTAGCCAGGCTAATGGAAATAGGTCAATCATTGCTGTAAGCAAACAGAGTACCAGAAATCTGAGCAGCGCAGGTAGCGAATGGAGAGACCTCTTTAAGGGCGCAGAGAAGCCAGCACATGCAGTGGTGGTGACATTAAAGCTGTTCTTTCTGGAGTTTGTTAGAACATCTCCCGGGGAAACAAATGGCATTCTGTCTTGTGTTCTGGCGGTCATCGTGCTGAATTTTATACAAAAACACTAAGTACAATTCAGTGTCTGTTCTGTATAAAAAAGTTGTTTTGGTCTACAAATTAACAATTCCCTTTAGACAGTCTCCATTAAAGAGTCTATCCAGAATGAAGAAGAACAAATATTTAGTTGGTTCTCTTCAGTGTTTTGGGTTATTTTGTTTAACCTTATTATTTCACCACCAGAGCGCCAGCTGGAGTTCACAGCCAACATCCTTTGAAACTAATGTCCTTACATTTAGTCCTATTGAGGAAAGCACTTTCTGACCAATTACAGACTTCCTTGTATCAATAAAGTAATTTATGAAGGGATACAGTCTCCACAGATGAGAGTTGCTGGGCTTTGTTTTTTTTTTCTTTCTTTTTTTAAATGAAAGCTGGTCTAGTCTAATGGCAGACAGTATTTTATTCACTACTGAGTCTCCTCACACCACCTCCCAACACACAGATGCCTTTCAGACTAGCTGGCTGACAACTGTAAAAACTCCTTGAAGCAGCTCATTTATGAGGAAAGCTGGATTAGCATATTCAGTTCAAAGGAACGTGTCTTCGGACAAGAATCCTGCCCAGTGTAAGAAAACTGTATTCACCATATAAAAAGCGTATGTCATCATTTGATGACATCAGGTCTGTCAGCACTGCCTTTTACACAACTTGCGTTGCCAGCAGTCAAACAAGATCAGTAGGTGTGATTTAGGATTAGCCGCTGATGGAGAGAGGCAGAGGCCCAGTCACGCGTATCTCCAGCTCTGCAATTGCAAGGAAGAAGTAGTACCTAGCTGACATCACCCAATACCTATTAGAAGCATGATCTTCCATCACGTTTGTACGGGACGACACCTAAAAGAACCACCATCTTTTGATAGGGATTGTGAAACGCTGGTCAGTGGTGTCTCTTGTTCTGCTATGTCACTTCTGTGCTTTCTTATACTTAGCTATATACTTCTCATTGCCAAAGGAAAAATAATACATGCGGCAGGTTCATGAAGTAGCTCATGTTTATGAATAAGTATTTTTGATCATAAGATCAAGAGTAATCGTAGCTTAAAAAAACCCAAACAATCGCCTCCCAAGAGTAATCGTAGCTTAAAAAAACCCAATCACCTCAAACTACAATTAGATTATTGTATAGTTCACAGATTAAGTTAGAAGGTAACAACTCACTTTTAAGTCTGCATCAGTTTTCACCCTGGCAGAATAATTTTCATTGACGTTATTAAGTGCTCTTTTCCATGTTTTTTTTCTTCACTTCTGCTGGGAGGACAGGGCTACCACATGAAAACTCCACACCTCATGTGCTTAGCGCTGGGGCAGGTGCCAGCACTGGGCACAGACAACTTTACCACTATGCCACTGAGCTCTGTGGTATTCTTAGTTGTTTATATAAACTACACTGATGCAGTAATTCCATTGGCTCTTCCAGTTCAATTACTTTTAAATTCCCTGAACACAGACAGCATTCCTGCAATTCACATTAGCGCCAGAATTTTAAGGGCTACTTGCGGCTCTCCTTAGCTATGTAGATTCAACACCATCAAAAAGAATACCGTTGAATTACAGCAAGGGAACAAAATAAAGCAAAAGCCACAGCAAAAATTAAGAGAGAGAGCAGAGTCTCTACATAAGGCAGCAGGACAAAACTCCTCACAATAAAAACGCAGCAGCTTTCAGCAGCTGCTGGTTACATCAGTCAGCCCTGGGGCAAACCAGGGAAAATGCCAACGTAAGGAAATACAGGATTTAACTAGACATTTTAAGTAGGTAAAGAACTGCGCATACAGATTTCAAAGTAGCTCAACAAGATTTTCCTCTGTCTCTTTTTGCTGTTTTAAAGTTATGATTCCCGAACTTCTACAGCTACTCTGCGGGTAGCTCCAGCATGTCCTAGCTGCTCCTCCGTCCTGACAAAGGCAAAGAGGGAGCGTTACAGAGCTCTCCGCGAGCGCCGAAGGCAGCAACCGCCGCCCGCCCCGGCCCCGCGGATCAGGGGAGCGCGGCGGCTCCATCCTGACACACACAGCAG